CAAACACACCCAAAACGTATATTTCTCCAAAATTTCTAAGAAAAATTAAAATTAAATTTTTTTAAAATTATTTATCAATATAATTTGATTATCCCGAGCCCGGGTGTTATATTATCCACAAATAAATTACAAAAATTATGAATTTATTAGACTAAAGCATGAATTTTGAGAATAAATGTCATACATTTTATTTGAATAAAAATGAATTTTTAGGCATCATATAAGTTAAAAATAATTATAACAGTTTGATAAAGTTTATTTTGAAATTATTATTGAGGTCAATGATTATGTATTTTAATAAATATCTTATATTTGTATTTGGTAACATTACAACTAAGGATATTATGACAGCATAATTAATACGATTACGTCATATTAATTTTATAAATTTAAAAATATTATAATATAATTGTTAAATATAACAACTATATTTCTATGTGCTAGATGTATATTTGGTGAGTAGTTAAAAAATATTTTTATATTTAGTCCTCAATATTTTTTATTACAATTTATTTTATAATTTTTTATTTATTTCAAATGTCAAATTTTGTATATCTTTTATGAAAAAAAAAAAATTGAAATTATTATGTCATAATTGATATTTTAAAAATAACTCTAGAAAATAGTTTTTAACTAATTAATTAAACTTGTAAAAATATAATAATTTACTCAAAATTAAAATATTTATAAATAATGATTAAAAAATATATAACCGAAAATATAATCTAAGTGAACGAAATGAAAATAAAAAACTAGCCCTAAAATGTATAACATAACCATTAATATTATTAAATTAAGTTACAATTAAAAGAAGATCTACATTCTGTTACCCTTGGAACTCAACAACCGCAATTATATTTGAATAACCTCAAGATATGTATTTAATGTCAAAAGACTGAAGAAGTGAATCAGTGGTGGGCAATGTCTGCCCCACAAGACTCACCTAATCTACTAAAGATCGCAGTCTTACTGGTGGGACTCTCCTAATTTATTGTTTCACAAATTTTCAATTATAACTTGTTGTAAAAAATTATTATTATTATTATTATTTTATTTAATAGTATTTTTTAAATTTAGAAAATCTAAATTTCAATTCATTGTGATATAACAAAAAAAATAAGTCATATTCAAATTACAAATAAATGTCTGTTTATTTTAAAATTAATCTCTACATTTTTTATCTTTCTACTTTAAAAGAACAAATAAAAGAGCAAAAGGGTAATAATAAATTATTATTTAATTAAATAATTATTATGTTTTTTTTTATATAATAAATTATGAATTCAATTTAAATTGTGTTTTTTGTTTTATGTAAATTATTTATATTATTTTATAATTGAAGTATAAATTTATTCTATAATTGACTAAAGAAAATGCAAAGCAATAATTTGGTTAAAAACAAAAAGGAATTCAAAGTGGTGTCAGATCGGCGGCTGAACACCGGGAAGTTCACCAGTTTGACCTGGAAGTAAGTGCTGACTCCCAAAGAAAACACGTGCAAGTGATAACCCTTTAATTAATGATTTTCTCTTAAAGAGTTGCTTAATTACACAGTTTTAGTCCTTATTAATTTTCATTTAAATGTCAATAAATACAGGTTTTAGAAATTTCTTGTCTATAACATACCTTTAGAAAAAGAGTATTTAATAAATTACATCAACTAAATATTAATTTTTGTTTAAATTTTTTGCTTTGTGGATAATTAATTTATCTATTAAAAATAAATAACTTTCTAGGCACATAATTAACGTGATAACATAAAATTATCATTTGAGTAAAAATTAGATGAAGTATAAAAAAAGTATCATTTTTAAAACGACACCCCACTACTCACTCTTAGTAATCTATCTTCGTTTCTGCGACTGCGAGTATAGCGACTCAGGGAGACGACTTCGGAACATTTTGAAGCGTGTAGTCTAAACCCTACTGCCGTGTTACCCAGTGTCTCTACTCCATCAATGGCTTCCATCCTAAGAAACCCAAAACTTCTCTATTCCAGAGCCCTCTTCTCAGCCTCCATCTCCACCCAAACGACCCCATTTCCATCCTTTCGCGCAGCAAAATCCGCCATTCTATCAGAATCCGACCCGGAAAAGCTCGCGGCAATGTTTGACCAGAACTCTCTCTTCCCCACCTTCCGCCGCCACCGCCCCCTTTACGAAGTCTCCGTTCACAAACTCGCCCGCTCTGGTCGCGCCGACCTCGTTGACCGGATCATCGAAAACCACGTCAGCTCTCCCTCGAATGCCGCCTCTCTCAAATCCGAAGGCTTCTGGATTCGCCTCATGATGCTGTACTCAAGCGCAGGAATGGTCGATCAAGCAATGCGAACCCTCGATCGCATGTTACAGACTAAGTGCTCTAATATTACCGAGAAGTCTCTCTGCGCATGTTTATCTGTTCAGTTGAACAATGGGTTGTTCGAGAAGACACACGAGCTGTTCGATAAAATGCCGCAGAGACTCGGCGTTGAACCGGGCGTGGTATCTCATAATTTGATATTGAAGACATTCGTCAACCAAAACAGGGTTGATTTGGCGCGCGATTGGGTTCAGAAAATGGAGAAGGACGGCAAGGTTACGCCCAACATTGATTCTTACAATATACTGCTCGGTGCTTACTGGGTTAACAAGGATTCAAATGGCTTTGATGGGGTTTTAAAGGAGATGATGAGCAAAGGTCTCGACCCTAACGTGACAACTTACGTTTACAGGATAGCGAAAATGTGTAAGGATAAGGAATGTGTTCGAGCCAAGAAGCTGTTAGATGAAATGATATCGAAAGGAGTAAATCCAAATTCTGCAACTTACAACACCATTGTTCGTGGGTTCTGTAAGGTGGGTGATTTTGACTCGGCCAAGAAAGTTCTAGAGGGCATGTTGGCTGATGGGTATGCAGTGCCGTCTTCATCAGCTTATTATGCGTTGATGCGTGGGGCGGTTAAAGAAGGAGAGTTTGATTTGGCGCTGGAGATGTGCAAGGAGATAATGAGGAGGAAATGGGTTCCACCATTTGAGGCTATGGAAGGTCTGGTTAATGGGTTGTTGAAAATGTCGAGGATGGAGGAGGCGAAAGAGGTGATTGAGAAGATGAAGAGGAAACTTACGGGGAATGCAGTAGAGTCTTGGGCTAAAATTGAAGCAGCTCTCCCTTTATAACGTCTGTTAGATTACCTCAGATTTATCTCTGAACTTCTTGGATTTGAAAAGCTGAAATTGACTGGTAAAAAGACATTTTAGTTTTGTCATGAAATATTTATGTTCCATGTTCTATCTTTTAAGAGATCGTTTAAAGGGGTGTTTTATTTAATTTGATTCTAAAGGGTGTTTTCCGTAAGTTTCAGATCTCTTAAGTTAATAAGCCTTTAGATAGCATTTAAGTTAGACCAGTATCGTTTTTTTTTCTCTTTTTTTTTTTTCATTTGAGAAACGAGGAGACAGTTGCATTATATGAAATATTAAAAAATTACTTTGAAATGCCTCTTAAACACCATAGAATTTGGCACTTCATGTTTGGTGAAAATGTAACCTAAGTGATTGTGATGGCTCAATGAATGGGGTTAAAGCTAAGTTAAAATGGATTTTCTTGTCCCTGTTGGCTGAGATAATAATATTCATGTCCCATTTAGTTTAATTCAATTTTATTTTCACAAAGTCTAAAATAAAATTACATACAAATTTCGTGTGTACTTTTAACTTTTGAATAGTTAAAGAAATAAAGTTGAACCCCAGCATCTAACCATGCAGAATTCGCTGTGAATAAGAATGATTCTTTAAAAGAAAAATGTGCTCCTTAATTTTAGGCTATGAGTTCAATGCGTGTGTGCAAGCCCAAGAACGCATTAAGAGGTACTTGGAAACCAATATGCAATTCTATAAATAAGACCTAGCCTGCAAGAAAGAGCAATAGAGAGAAGTGATAAAGAGCATGCACGACTAATCATCCAAAATCCATCAGAGATGCTCAGTTTGTACATGATAAAAATGGATTTTCAAATAAATACTTCTGAAAAGAACAGAAAGGAGAAAGATACCTCATATACAAACGTGACCTAAAGCCGGCATGTCAAATCATCTTAGTCATGTGAGTCCTACGCGTTTGAGCTTGCAACAAGATCCTTGTTTGCAAGAGTTAATAAAGTTGCAGTTTCCATCAGAAACTTCCTTGGTTTTATGGCCTTTCATTAATGATTTCGGATGGTTCCAAAGAAAACTGCATGTTTGATTCGTTAGAAGATGAAGCCCATTTGATCACTTACGGCCAGACCCTGCCTGAGTATTGTGCTCGAAGCCCCCTGGTACAAACACAGAAGCTGGTTTGACGCTGAATCCCTTTTGAATCTTGATTCCCGTGCAAGTTCAGACAACCTTTCAGCCCCTCTCT